ATGATTTTTTTGTGTTGGTGTTGCGTACTCAGGTGAATAATATGTTTGCGATGTTACTCTGAGTGCATATCCACACCGGCGAGCTTGAAAAATATGCCCGGCCACGGTGGGATTCGAACCTACGACCTTTGGAATACTAGCCTAATGCTCTTCCAACTGAGCTACGCGGTCAGGACGGTTCGAGTAAGTGATATTTCGGAACAGTATCTAGTTCCTTCAATACCAATGTGTTCTTGTAATATGAATTTTTTTCTGTGCTGATGTTGTGTACTCAGGTGAATAATATGTTTGTGATGTTACTCTGAGTGCATATCCACACCGGGCGAGCTTGAAAAATATGCCCGGCCACGGTGGGATTCGAACCTACGACCTTTGGAATACTAGCCCAATGCTCTTCCAACTGAGCTACGCGCGGTCAGGACGGTTCGAGTAAGTGATATTTCGGAACAGTATCTAGTTCCTTCAATACCAATGTGTTCTAGTAATATGAATTTTTTTCTGTGTTGGTGTTGTGTACTCAGGTGAATAATATGTTTGTGATGTTACTCTGAGTGCATATCCACACCGGGCGAGCTTGAAAAATATGCCCGGCCACGGTGGGATTCGAACCTACGACCTTTGGAATACTAGCCCAATGCTCTTCCAGCTGAGCTACGCGGTCAGGACGGTTCGAGTAAGTGATGTTTCGGAACAGTATCTAGTTCCTTCAATACCAATGTGTTCTAGTAATATGAATTTTTTTCTGTGTTGGTGTTGTGTACTCAGGTGAATAATATGTTTGCGATGTTACTCTGAGTGCATATCCACACCAGGCAAGCTTGAAAAATATGCCCGTCCACAGTGGGATTCGAACCTACGACCTTTGGAATCGACCTTTGGACTCGGACCGTCCTGACCGCGTAGCTCAGTTGGAAGAGTATTGGGCTAGTATTCCAAAGGTCGTAGGTTCGAATCCCACCGTGGCCGGGCATATTTTTCAAGCTCGCCCGGTATGGATACGCACTCAGAGTAACATCACAAACATATTATTCACCTGAGTACACAACACCAACACAAAAAAAAAATGAACTCTTTGTTCTCTGACATTTCCCTTATTTTATTCCTTGTTTTAGTGCCACTTACTTCCCACCTTCCTCCTCTGTTTCGTGCCTTTTCTTTCCAGCTGTAATTAATTTTATTATCATATTGATTTATTTATAAGATTAAGACATAAATAAGACTAGACAAAATTTACATACAACACAGGCAGGGACTGACCACAGAGGCAATGTCCAATAACGGGGTCCCATACATAATTCTACATGAAATAAATGTACATGATAAAACAAATTCCATAGGTTATTTGATTGTCCGCAACATGACTTCACTTATAGGCTATGAAGAGACTGAGTTGTGTGGCACTTAACGCACACTGATTTGAATGTTTTCGGATTGTGCTGGTTGTAAATATATTCTAAAAGGTTAAAGTAATAATTAGGTAATGAATTTTTAAAGTACACTAGTGATCTTGAAGTGTCATAATAAACTGAAAGTAATAAAGTTACAGAATGGTTAAACGTCAATAAATTATCTCTAAATATCCAAAAGACAAAATTCATTTTATTTAGATCTTCCAAAGCATGAAATTCAAAATACAGAAGACCAAAGCATGAAATTCAAATTATTATGCAATTACTAATTTTATTAATAATTAAGCAACACTTTATACTAAAGATTCAGAAATCACACCATCCTATTATGCAGACAATGTCAATGCCTTTTCATTGTACAAAATAATACTACATAAAAATCAAACTAGTATATTGTTTTATCTCAATATTGTAAACACCACAGTATTTACCCTTTATACCTCAAATTTGTAAATATCTTGTATATAACACATAAAACTTTTCTTCTGCATGATTATCTCCATTTAATAATTACTGTAAATAATAAAGTAATCTAAATAGGAACATTAGTAGTGGCCTAGATACAAAAGCCTGCAAAGGTTTCTACTAGGTCTCTAGCCCAAATATTTATTTTGTCATAATGTATTAATAATTGTAATGTACATGTGAAAATAAATTAGAAAAAAAATGTTCCAAATACTGGGCACTCTAACATAAAAATTATTCTTATAGCTAACTCCATTCTGCATCTGGATACATGAAGAATGCCATTATCAGAGTCAGCATTTCTTGTATTTTGGATATCTGTTCATATTGATACATTGATATAATTGCTTAGAATACACTTGTAAAGTCGAAGTCTAAATATCCGTGCCAATAGCAGAATGGGAAAATACCAATAGCCTGCAGTTGTTCCCAGTCTGTACAACTGAATGGCATACCCCAGCATGCTGTGAACTAGTAAGAGGTACAAGATCTTCTGTACATGAATGTTATGCATGACCAATGCTGTTCAATGAATAAAGCAGATCATCAAGTTTGCTTTTAATGAGATATCTTAAGGCAAAATAAGAAAGTGTTATGTCCAGTTTGCGAGAAAACATCTGCTATTTTTTTAGACAAGGTACAGTGAGTGTATCTACACTATAAAACGGTCCTACTAAAGAATGCCCGGGAACGCCCGGGAGTTGGGAAATAATGTCCGGGGAAAATAATGTTCATAATTACGTTAGTTTATACTAATAAAATCACTTATTTTATGGAAGATTAAATAATTCTTGTAATATATGGCATTGCAACGTACTGTTCACGGAATGTCCGGCTGTCACAAAAGAATGCCCGGGAGTCGAAAAGGAATGCCCGGGGTAAAATTACACAAGTAATTATGATAGTTAATGATAACAGGTCTTTTATTTTTTAATCAGAAAGTTTCTTGTAATATATGGCAGATAATCTACTCAGAATATATCACTATCAGTGAAATATATTTTCGGTAGTGTAAAAAGATGTTTCTTCATCACATTATCACCACAAATTATTTATTTGGCTTTGTAATGCTAATTTTCTCCAGGCAGGCATTCTGTGAATAGTTTTTGCAGTGCCATATATTACAAGAAACTTTCTGATTAAAAAATAAAAGACTGATCATTAACTATCGTAATTACTTGCGTAATTTTACCCTGGGTATTCATTGTCGACTCCCGGGCATTCTTTTGTGACAGCCGGACATTCCATGAACAGTACTTTGCAATGCCATATATTACAAGAATTATTTAATCTTTCATAAAATAAGTGATTCTATTAGTATAAACTAATGTAATATATGAACATAATTTTCCCCGGGCATTCTTTCCCAACTCCCAGGCATTCAACGAATCTCCCCGGGCATTCCCCGGCATTCTTTAGTAGGATCCCTATAAAACAATGCATAAAAACAACATATTCTGCAACCAGGTTTTGGTAGCAGGCGATGCTTTGGTTTGCCAATATGCAAGTGAAGAAACTCTGTCAAATATAATGGCTTTGTCTGAGAAACAAAGTCAAAGAGAAGTAGTAAATATTGCTTGCTTAAATACTTGTAGATAAGCAGAGAAATATACAGAACCATTAAATTATATACAGAACCATTAAATTTATTATCAAGACTGAAAATACCATTTCAACTTCAGCAATATTTATAAACAAATGCAACTTTGTCTAGATTTCATTCTGAACATACTTTTGCCTAGCAAGTTTAAATCCTTAAAGAAAATCTTATTACTTTTGGCCATCCACAAAGATACAAGCACTAGTCAATGAGCTCAATCAATCATGCATTGAATTATGATTTTATTTTCAAAAAGGTGTATCTTATTTAGCTTAAAAATCACCTTTTGTTTTGTGATTTCAAAGTTTGCTAACCATAAAATCAGAAATGCAGTCCTAAATGAAAAGAAACATCTTAAAGGGACTAATATATTTATTAGGGAAGTTTTTCTGATAAAGTATTAGCCAAACGATGTGAATTAGTTCCTAAAATGTTTGAAGCAAGACAAAATGGTATGTGGCTTATTTACGTTATGATAAACTAATTACGCATTCAAGAAATAACACAAGTCAGATATCAGCTTCTGCTCAGGCGGCAGGCGACAATAGTATTGTGCGATGATATACTGCAGGACTATAAATTTAATTTGTGTGTTCAGGTAAGTGTTTTTGTTGACATTATTTTATTTAATTATGGCTTTTTATCTGGACGTTTTTCCGTTTTATGGGTTAGATGACCAGGAATTTAATTTAATATTTGAAATGCAAAATGGCTCAATTAATTATGATGCATATAGGCTTGATTGCCTACACTTTAATCCTTTTTTACAGGGAGATATTTATCTTACACTATCAGTGATCTCGATCCAGACTTAAATATGTTCAATCACACTAATGACTGTAATTACTATGTTGAGGAGCAACTCAATGATTTTTTTAATTCAAAAGTTAAGTCAAGATCATGTTTTCTGTCATGCATGTAAATAGTCGTATTCTTAGGTGCAATCTGAATAGGCTTACGGATCTATTGTTTAGTCTTCAATTGCAATTTTCTGTAATAGGTGTTACCGAAACCTGGCTTAACAATACTTCAGCCCAGTTGGTTAATATTGATGGTTATGATCTTATTTATTTATATAATTTTCTGTAATTTATTTCTGGGAGGAAATCCATGATTTCATAAGCCTTTAGGTTTCTCTTTTGGATTTCCTTGCCATATGTAATTCTATTTTTCATTTATTTGTGTGTATTTGTTTGTAAAAGTTATATTGGCAAATTATTAAAATTCAAACATTAAAAATTAAAAAACAATTCAATGTTACACTTTGTCATGCAAATCGTGCAGAGGCTTCGGGCCTTGCTTTTCCCGCCTGTGCTCCTTCGTCCAGCCGCTCGACTCTGTGTTACATTATCCGCCATGTAAAATGTTGTGAAATGTATCTCGGTAATAATCGTAATCATAGCCAACTAAAGCCTTTATGGAGAAGAAAGTCCTCCTGTCATGAGAGCCCCGTTTATCAATATGATCACTTCTTGAATCTCTGCCCATACTTTCTCACAGCTTTCTATCTCTTCCGGAAACGCTTCGTCTGTAGATTCTCATATTTTGTATTGCCGTATCTAATTCAACACTGGAAAATGCAAAGTATTGACAGTAACAACAAAGCACAAGCAGTTTGAATTCTCTTATCATTTGTATGGAAATGAACTATTAGTTTGTAAAGAAAAAAAAGATATAGTAGGCCGTAGGATGAAGGCCTAAATTGAGCTTAGAAAACCAATGTCATTACAAGCTTCGAGGGAGATAATAATTTTTACATAGATAGAAAGAGGATGCCTTACTTAATAAGAATCCACTTCCCCCCAAGCGAAATAGTTGCACAAATGAGAATAAATCGCCTTCAAAGTTCGCGCTCCCTCGTGCTTTCAAATTCACGAGCGCCCATTGTTTTCGTTGCCAGTACGCATGCGTGTGACGAAACAACACTAAATGCGCATGCGCAGATAAGCTAAGACAGAAATTCAACATGGCTGATGCAAATGAGATCTCTCATGCTCGAATTAGTTCATGTTTTATGCATTTTGAAGGGGTGACCGAGCAACTTTGCCAAGTCTCTCGTCAAAGGCTAAAGAAATTTATTGAATGTAGACATAAATGGGCTAAACTTGATTGTGTACAAGCTGATATAGCGAAGAGTTCGTATAATAAGTTCGATGACGACTTCGTGAATACGTATTTGGCCGAGAACACCGAAAGCAGCTTTGCTGTCAAATGGTACCACCATATGAGATGTTACAAGAAATTTTGCGACGAAGAGAAGATCCGAAGACAAGAGAGAAGTGAGGAAAAGCGAGCAAAACAAATTACAGAAACTGTTCCTATTACTGAAGACTCATCCATGGAACCAATCGAAGAGCCAAGTAGAAAGGTTACGCGTAGTTCTCAAATATGTAGTTCAGTTGCTGCCCAAAGTAAGACCTTGCCTCAAAGAAATCAGTATGTACTGCCAGAGTGTTGCATTATTTGTGGAAGAGATGCTTCTTGGTTTAGAACAGACAAGGTATGACCACTTCTTCATGTTTTCAATTGATAAAAAAAATTCATACTATAAAATGCTGTGCACATGATGTATTAAACTGAGATCGGTATTTGACTATTTTTAAAGTATGGAAATTAAGCTATTGCAGCTAGTTTGTCTAATACAAAGTATACATGTTTAAGCTATTATATCAAGAACCTATCGCTATGGGGAACATGAGAACATTGGTGATTGGTTTGTTTATTTCTTGCTAGTATATCATTAATATAAGTATAAAATGACAAACAGGCATTCAAAATATTTGCACTTTGTTGTAGAAAACAAAAAAGAGAACAAGAACACCACTTGTATTGGCAGCAACAATCGATGCTGGACTCTTGCGTACTGCTGCTGAGAAGAAAAATGATGAGGAGATACTAATGCATATTAGAGACAAAGACTGTGTTGCATTGGAGGTCCGCTATCATGGAATTTGCTATAATAACTACACCAAATTCATAACAAAGCCAGTAAAAGAGACAAACACATGTGCACCAATCTATGAAAAGTCATACAAAGTATTCTGCAAAGATGTCATTGAGTTGGAAGTCATCAAAGGAAAAGCAATAAAGTATATGAAGGAGTTACTGAGTAAATTTATTGTCATTGGGCTTTCAGCCTCAAGCAACGACTAATCAATAGTTACCCTCAACTTGTTTTCTTGATGCAAAAGTATAGAACTGTTGGCGAGATTGTTTATGCTGAGAACTTGCGTCCATCTGATTTTGTTGGGGAACATATGTTAAATAAATCTATACATGATGATGAAGACTTTGATACTAGTTAGTTTTTTGTTACTAGGTACTAGTTTCTTTTATCTTCATTATCGAGACATCTGTCTTTATACATGTAGATAGGTAAATCAATTGATCTATGTACATGTATAAAGGCAGATGTCTCGATATTGAAGATACTATAGTACCTGTTTCGAAATATCAAACACAAACCACCTTTCGACTAACTAGTTCCCAACTTGACCTGTACCTCAGTTGGTAGATCATCAAACTGGCAACCGAATGTCGCGGGTTCGATTCCCAGCCAGCCCAAGTAAAGCTTGGAAAGCACTAATGGCCATACAGTGAATCACCTTTAGTCTGATACACCTGCCCTACTCTAATACTAATTCCAACCCTAACCCTAAAAAGGTTACTCACTGTATGGCTATCAGTGTTTTACGTAGAGCTTATCTCTACTTGTCGAGTAGGGGGGGGCGGGGGGAGGGGCAGGGAGGGACTTTAATGGGTTAGAAATGGCTGGGATGGTGTGAAACATTGAGCAATTTCACATCCATGAAATGTCCCAAGTTGTCACCATTTCTAACCACACCCTTTTTTCCGAATGGAAAAGCGATGAAGGCGAGTGTTTGGCGCCTTAAAACCAAATTGCTCGACAGTCTTCCCATTGTAAGGGAAGTATGGTAAGGCTGTCCATGTTCCGAATCAGTTTGTCATGACTTGTGGTATTATCTGTTTTCTAGACATGCTGATGAGCCCTGATATGGGGCGAAACAGTCATTTTAACATCTCGGCATATAAAAGCATAATAATATAATCTCATAGTCATACATCGTGTTAAGCTGGGTTTTTTTCAAACTTTCCCTTTTTTATGAGTATGGTTGTCTTGGAAGTAAGAAGTCTCCATGGTGGATAGTGGACTGGCGAAAAGGCGTTCCTGATACTTGGTAAACTAAAGATGAATCTGCATGGAGAAATGCGCGTTACAGTTTTCATGATAAGCAACACATCACAAAGTTCTAGTCAGCGCGGTTTAATTACTTTAATATATTGTTTTGTTTTCTCAAGACCTTTTAACAGTTTTGTGATATGATTAATTGTAAGAAGTTGACAAAGTAAAAAAGTAATTGTAAAAATAATTGTAAAAATAATTGAACATTATTAACAGTTATCTGAGCATTTTATTATTTTTGGTAGTTGTGTATACTTGTTTTAAAATATGATTGCGAGCATCGTGTAGTGTATATATCATCCTATATCTTATTACATTATTCTTGAAATGTTAGTCTTTGATTTGTAATATAATGTTCTCGGGAGGGTATACACTATATAACTCTAAATAGCTCTAAATATTTGTGTATCATTCAAATGTACAAACCATGAAGACCTGCTATTTTTCAAAACGCTGCCGATTTCACCTTTTCTTATTTAGGGCTTTTTCTAAGCAGTTTTTCGTGTCCAGTTACGTGTAAGATCAGTTTTCCCCAACTGCGCGTGCGCATTGAATGTTTTCCTTTGTACGCATGCGCGCTGGCAACGAAAACAATGGCCGCTCGTGAATTTGAAAGCATGAGGGAGCGTGAACTTTGGAGGCGATTTATTCTCATTTGTGCAACTATTTCGCTTGGGGGGAAGTGGATTCTAAGTAAGTTAAACCTTCTCTTTCTACCTATGTAAAAATTATTATCTCCCTCGGAGGCTGCAATGAAACGGCACAATTTAGGCCTTCATCCTA